CCTTTGTGTTTCAAGTGACTCCTTCCCCCTGTCATTTCTTCTCCTGCTTTCACCTTCCGGGAGGACCCACGGGTTTAAAGAATGATGGAGCAGCCATTACACGCCCCCCCTCCCAATTTACAGTGATGTAGCCATAGCTGTCAACTTTTCCCTTTTTTAAAGGGAAATTCCTTTATTCCGAATAGGATTCCTCACAAGAAAAGGGAAAAGTTGACAGCTATGGATGTAGCCAATGCTGGCCTTACTCAAAGTAGACCCATTGCTGTTCAAGAACATGGCTAACTTAGGTCCATTCTTCTTCTATAAGTCTGCTCCAAGAAGGATTTAGTTGGATGCAAGCCAGTGTTTCCCGTTTTGTCCCATTTCTGTGTCCAGGGCAGCTGTCTACCAGCTCCATCTGGTACGCAGGCTGAGACCCTACCTGCCTGAGTGTCTTGCCAGAGTGGTGCATGCTCTGGTTATCTCCTGCCTGGACTACTGCAACGCACTCTACATGGGGCTACCTTTGAAGGTGACCCGGAAACTACAATTAATCCAGAATGCAGCAGCTAGACTGGTGACTGGGAGTGGCCGCCAAAACACTGGTCCTGAAAGACCTACACTGGCTCCCAGTATGTTTCTGAGCACAATTCAAAGTGTTGGTGCTGACCGTTAAAGGCCTAAACAGCCTCGGTCCAGTATATCTGAAGGATCATCTCCACCCCCATTGTTCAGGCCGGACACTGAGGTCCAGCTCCAAGGGCCTTCTGGCAGTTCCCTCCCTGCGAGAAGCCAAGTTACAGGGAACCAGGCCAAGGGCCTTCTCGGTAGTGGCGCCCGCCCTGTGGAAACCCCCCCCCCCCCATCAGATGTCAAAGAAATAAACAACTATCTGACATTTATAAGACATCTGAAGGCAGCCCTGTTTAGGGAAGTTTTTTAATGTTTGATGTTTTATCGTGTTTTTAATCATCTGTTGGGAGCTGCCCAGAGTGGCTGGGGAAACACAGCCAGATGGGCGGGGTATAAATAATAAATTACTACTACTACTACCAGGAAACCATGGTTAGCAAGTTCAGTACAAGCCAGGGCATTTGAAGGCTGAACTTTGCCCTGGCTCAATACCCTGGCTCATTCTGAAGCTCCTTACCTTCCTATTGCTTCTTACCTCAGTGGCCAGCTTCTTCATATAGGGGTCCAGTTCGTGAAGAAGGCTGTAGCCCTGCTGGAAAAAGGTGTACTGAGCCTGCATGAAGGACAGCATCTGGAGAAGAAAAGAAGAACATGTCTATGGGTCTACTCTGAGTGGATGCCACCTGTTGATCTAAGTGCATTTATTTGATTTTTTTTAAAAAAACAACAACACGTATATACGGTTCGACTGCAATAAAACCTCCAAGCGCTTCACAAGAAAATATTAAAATTATAAGTAAAAACAAGTTAGAACGATTTAAACATTTATAGTAATTAAAATTAATAGTAAAAAAAAGATTTTTACACACCAACATTTTTAATATTCTGTTGGAAGCCGCCCAGAGTGGCTGGGGAGGCCCGGCCAGATGGGCAGAGTGTGAATAATAAATTATTATTATTATTATAGATATTACTTGTCAGTTTAGGCTTGCCTAAACAAAAATGCTTTAAGCAGGCGTCAAAAGGAGTGTAGCAGAGGCAACTGGCTAATGTCAAAATAATTAAGGGCTTGATCAAACTAAGCCTTATTCAGAGTTCAGCCCATTGAAATGAATGGGCCTAAATTAGACATGCCCATTAATTTCAATAGGTCTGCTCTGAGTAGGAACAATGATTGACACAACCGCAGATCTCCAGATCCTCAGCCTATCTTCCAATCCAGTAAAAAAATAGGATTGTATCCAATGCTAGTCCTACTCAGAGTAGACCCACTGAAGTTAACATGCGTGACTAACTTAGGCCCATTACTCTGAGTAAGAGTGGGATGCGGCTGGTGTTGTGGTCTAAACCACTGAGCCTAGGGCTTGCCGATCAGAAGGTCGGTGGTTCGAATCCCCGCGACGGGATGAGCTCCCGTTGCTTGGTCCCTGCTCCTGCCAACCTAGCAGTTTGAAAGCACGTCAAAGTGCAAGTAGATAAATAGGTACCACTCCAGCGGGAAGGTAAACGGCGTTTCCATTCACTGCTCTGGTTCGCCAGAAGTGGCTTAGTCATGCTGGCAACATGACCTGGAAGCTGTCTGTGGACAAATGCCAGCTCTCTCGGCCAGTAAAGCGAGATGAGCGCCGAAAGAGAGTCATCCGCAACTGGACCTAACGGTCAGGGGTACCTTTACCTTTTTACTCTGAGTAAAGCACAATTGGATGCAACCTAAGAAGAGCCTAATGGATCAACACATTTTAACTTAATGGGCAGGAGAAAGTTGCCCACACAGCAACCTCCTTAGCAAACATGGCGTCCCTCTGCAAGGCATGCTGGGAGCTGCAATTTACCCACAGTTTGGGTGAAGTCAGGGGCAGCAAGGAGAGCTCAGAACAGTTCTTACCGCATCGAGGATTTCAAATTTCTTCTTGGCTTGGAGGACATTGATCTATAAGCAAAAGAAGAAGGGGGGGGGAGAGATAAGGTTTCTGGGTTGCCAACAGAGTAGCCAGCCTGCTCCCTGGGAGCCCTCCAAAAACACAAGCAAGAGCCAGTAGTGGTTAGAGGGCTGGACTAGGAGCTTGGAGAGCAGGGTTCAAATCCCAACTTGGCCATGAAGCTCACTGGGTGACACGGGGCAGGTCACAGTCTTTGCAGAAGTGCAAAACCAGAGTAGCTAGCCTAAACAATGGCACTCATCTTCTGAACACCAGAAACAAGAGGGAAAGTTGGCTCTCAAAAAGTTATAATGCTGGCAAACTGCAGCACCACGGAGCCACCTTGTGGAAAAATTGAGATACTACTTCTGGGTGCTCCTGGTAGCCAAAAAATATATATTTCCCAGTTTCACATCCTGTTGCTAAAATTTCTACAATGTGGATTTTTGAAAGCAAACGAAGAATGGCTTCGCAACGGTTGAGTTTGGCAAAAGGTTTTGTGTGCGGCCAATTTGTAGCAGGAAGGGCCATTTCAGGGCCTATCTGAATAGCAAGCCGAGCCAGAGAAGATTTGGAGCCTGTCAGGCCCAGAGGCGAAATGGTGGCCCTCCAGATCTCTCTATCTGGGCCTCCGAATTTTCCCCAAGCCACAACCCCTCACCACAGACCCCTGCCCTTGGGTGTTTTAGCCTGACTGGACCGTGTCCCTGAATTCCAATAATGCCTCCTGTTTGCAAAGATGATGGAGGATGCTTCTAGAAACTAGCCTACTGTACAAAGGTAATATTTACATTTACAGTCCTTGCTCCGCCCACTTTTGCCTCTAGCCCTGCCCAGCACTGGGACATGGCCCTTGGGAGATTGCCCAGAAGGAAACATGGCCCTCAGGCTGAAAAAATGATCTGCACTCCTGCCATTACGGTTACATATGGGATTATTAGGTTTGAACAGCACAAGCTACTTCCTCCATGTGACCTTTTTTTAAAAACAGCAACAGGATTAGATAATTCATGGTGGGTAGATCTATCAGAAGCCATCAACTGTGATAACAAAATGGAACCACCATGTTCAGTAGAAATATACCTCCGAAAACCAGAAGCCCTAGAGAAGCAAGAAGGAAAAACTGCCTTGTCCTTAGGAATGGGCAAATCTGTCAATTTAGGTTTCTCTCAATTTCCTAACTTCAATTCCCCAGATTTTTACATCTGGTTGATTTCCTCGTGAAAATTCACAGCTGGGGAGGGCGGGATATAAATAATTTATTATTGTTGTTGTTGTTGTTGTTCAACATCTTCTCTTCCTCATCTCTCCGCCCCCCGCCCTGTTTGCTCATCCCTGGTGATCAACAGGATATGACAGCGTTAGCTGTCCCAGGATGAGACAGAAGGTGTCAGCAGATGGTTTCACTATAAAAGGGTGGGAAGGGGGGGGGGAGCTAATGGAACAGCTTGGATCAATATTAGCTTTGACTCTAGTTTGCAGCACAACACAAAGCCATTACAAGCGACACGGGAGGAGAAATCGGTCCGGAAATCGCTTCTCGGGAGAGTAACGATTCCACAATTCCCGAGGGTGGGTTGGCAGGAAAAGGCTTGATGTTGAGCAGCAGTCCAGTCCTTGCAAATACATGTCAAGTCAAGATGCTACCTTATATCAGGTCAGAGGGTTTCCTCCAACACTATCCCTGCTCAGAGTAGAAGCATTTATTACATTTACCTTTCCTAGGGACATGGGTGGCGCTGTGGGTTAAACCACAGAGCCTAGGACTTGCCAATCAGAAGGTCAGCGGTTCGAATCCCCACGACAGGGTGAGCTCCTGTTGCTTAGTCCCAGCTCCTGCCAACCTAGCAGTTCGAAAGCACGTCAAAGTGCAAGTAGATAAATAGGTACTGCTCCAGCGGGAAGGTAAATGGCCTTTTCGTGCGCTGCTCTGGTTCGCCAGAAGCGGCTTAGTCATGCTGGCCACATGACCCGGAAGCTGTACGCCGGCTCCCTCGGCCAATAAAGCGAGATGAGTGCCGCAACCCCAGAGTCGGTCACGACTGGACCTAATGGTCAGGGGTCCCTTTACCTTTACTAAGGAGCTCCAGGCAATGTACATTGACCCCCATTTATCCTCACAATAACCCTATGAGGTAGGTTAAGCTGAGAGCGAGTGACTGGGCCAAGGTGAGCTTCAAGGTCTCCCAGGTCCTAATCCAACATTCTAACCACTACACCATACTGCCCATGGCTAACTTAGATCCATTTATTTCAATGGGTCCGTTCAGAATTGGATATTATTCTTAAAAAATTACACACCGCTTAATTTATAAAAGAAACCTCAAAGCTGCTCACAAAACTATGAAACACAACACTAAAAGTGTCTATAAAAGAGTTAACAGCAGGTATTTAGAAAAATATAATTGTATAGAGTTGACAGGGGCCCTAGGGTCATCTAGTCCAACCCGCTAAAATGCATGAATCTTTCGCCCAACATGGGGCTCAAACCCATGACTCTAAGATGAAGAGTCTCATGCTCTACTGACTGAGCTATTCTTGGGAGAATTTCAGGGCTGTCTAGGGGAAGACCTCACCTGTAAGACGTAGTCGAGGGCTAAGTGTCGGAAGCATTTCCTGGTGATTGTCAAGGTGCCAGTGGCCTCTTCGACCTCATGGGGCTTGTGCCGCGGAGCTTGTGCGTTCTTGACCAAGGCAATCTCCATGTCTTCCCGTACCTTATCGAACTGTTTTTTGGTCTCCTTGAATTTCCGGACGTCACTGCAAGGTAATTTTACTCATTTACGAATTTGCTTCCCGTTAAAAAAAGAAAGAATCTGTTCACTTACCAATCGCTTCCCACTGAAGAAATAAAGTAAAAGCATCATGCAACAAAAAGAATTCGAAAACAATGCTATATCTAAAAGCAAGGAAAACGTTAAGAAGAGCTTGGCTGCTGTATCAAGCCAAATGGCCCATCTAGTCCAGCACTCTGTTCTCACACTGGCCAACCAGATGCCCCAATGGGAAGCGCTGTCGTTTTCTTTCTTTCTTTTTTCCAATTTTTTAAACTGATTTTCCATATTTATAAACAGACAAACAAATAAACGAACAAACATAAATCTTAAGTGTAGTAATTCCACTTTTGTTTACATTGTTGAGTGACTTCCTTGACTCCCCCTAACTGAGTTTCAATGCATATCATTGTAACAGTTTTCCAAAACTATTTTCACATAAAATTTACTTAGTCAATAAACATCTTTCTTTCTTTTCATTTTAACTTTAAACATATTATTCCATAACATCACATATTTAAATCCTAGGCCAATCTGGTACTTTCAAGTATTTCTATTTAGATTATCTTAGCATATTTAGCTAAATATTCTTTAAATTTCTTCCTTTCCTCCTGGTACTCCTCCTCCTTCTGGTCACGGACTCTTCCGGTCAGGTCAGCTAGCTCCCAAAAGTCCACCATCTTCATCTGCCATTCCTCCACTGTTGGCACTTCTTGCATTTTCCAATTTTTAGCCAGCAAGGGAAGCGCTGTCATTTTCTAGCTGCTTTACAGCGCCTGCTATTGATTTTATTTTCACTTTCCTAGTCCTCATGGAAACATACGGCTGGAGTAGACACCAAGCCTGCCCCCCAGATGTGCAAAGAGGATTGTGACGGGGGCGGGGCGGCCTATTCCAGCTGCTCCAGCTGCTCTCCTAACATTATAGGGCAGCAATCATATCCATAATCTAGACGGCATGTAACCCCATGCATACCTTAGCCTCCTTCCCCAGACAAAAAATTAAGAATGCAGCTCAAGAGGGATTATATCAGTGGAAATTATTTTTTTGTTAAAGGGTCCCCAAGCCCAAAGAATTATGATTAGTTACATTTTTTTTTTTATTTCGCCCTTCCTCTAAAGAGCTCAAGAAGGGGTATGCAGCAGATTTTCCTAGCCTTGGGTCAGCAGAAGTTCCTGCATTGCTGGGGGTTGGACTAGATGATCCACAGGATCCCTTCCAACTCGACAGTTCTATGAGTTTATGGTCTTCAAACAGCCACACAGGCTGGCAGGCATGAGGGATGGGAACCAACATGCGAGATCAAGCATGGCTCCAAAAACTGGCTTTCAAATCCCCTCTTACTCATCCTTCTTGCCCCACCAAGCGGTTATGTCAGCCGGAATTTGAGCACCTCAGAAATTTTGGGGAAGGTGAAGGAGGCCTGAACTCCTTCAGCAGCAGGGAGGGTGCTAGGAGGTCCATGTTCCCCCCTTGTTCTCCCCCTCCCACCCACTTGATGAAGTCGCCTGCAGTGCCTGACAGGCTCCGCGTCTACGGCCTGTTCCCATAGAAACAGGCTCTTACTTAGCTGAAGGCCTCGGCTGCCTCACTGACCTATATTCTGTGGCTTACGATGTCGTCTCCGTACCTGCCCCTTTTTCTTTTATTTAAAGAGGATTAGGAGCTCAAAGGAGGTGTGTGCCCTCCACAACATTAGGAACACAGGATGTTGGCCTGTTCTGAATACACCCAGCTGAGGGCCGTCAACACTGACTGGGAGCGCTTCTCTTCCCAACCCTACCTGTTGAACCTGGGACCTTCTGCATAAGATGTCAGCAGGCCCTGCTCACGCACTTCCAAGGACATCTTTGCAATCATAAGGACTACAAACCTGCCCATTGAGGAACATAGGCAGCTGTAATATACAGCCACTGGGCCCATCTAGCTCAACAGAATCTACACTGACTGGCTGCAGCTGTCCAGGGTTTCACAAGGGGGAGATTCCCAGCCCTACCACGAGACGCCTGAGATTGAACCTAGGGCCTTCTGCATGCAGAGCAGATGCTCCACGGCTGAGCTGCACCCCTTCCCCTGCTGCAAGAGGCTTCCTTATACTATTGGTCCATGCTGTGGTTTAAACCACTGAACCTAGGACTTGCCGATCAGAAGGTCAGAGGTTCGAATCCCCGCGACGGGGTGAGCTTCCATTGCTCGGTCCCTGCTCCTGCCAACCTAGCAGTTCGAAAGCACATCAAAGTGCAAGTAGATAAATAGGTACCACTCCGACGGGAAGGTAAACGGCGTTTCCGTGTGCTGCTCTGGTTCGCCAGCAGCGGCTTAGTCATGCTGGCCAAATGACCCGGAAGCTGTACGCCGGCTCCCTTGGCCAATAAAGCGAGATGAACGCCGCAACCCCAGAGTCGGCCACGACTGGACCTAATGGTCAGGGGTCCCTTTACCTTTACCTTTAGGTCAATAGTGTCTACACTGACTGGCAGAAGCTCTCCGGGGTTTCAGGCAGGAGTTCTTCCCAACCCTACCTGGAGAAGCAGGGTAATGAACCCAGGACCTTCTGCATGCAAAATCAGATGCTCTGCTACTAAGCCATTGCCATTCTCCTTTCCCACTGATGAAAATAAGGGTAATTATGTTGACAGTCAGTGTTTGAGCTTCCCTGCCATACACATTTCTCTTCCGTGCTTGCTATATTCAGCGGTACCTCGGTTTTCGAACGTAATCCGTTCCGGAAGACCATTCAAGTTCTGAAATGTTCCAAAACCGAAAATGCAATAGCCAACAGCTAGGCCTCAGGATCTTGCATTCAGCAGAAACTGTGTGGCATGTTCAACTTCCGAGGCATGTTCGAAAACCAAAGCATTTACTTCCAGGTTTACGGCATTCGAAAACAGAAATTCTTGTCAACGGAGACGTTCAAAAACCAAGGTACCACAGTATATGGTAAGGTGATCATACCACTTTACTTAAAAAAGCAAAAGGATATTTAAGATTGCATCCTGCTCAGAGTAAATCAATTGAAATGATTACCATATTTTTTGCTCTATAAGACTCACTTTTTCCCTCCTAAAAAGTAAGGGGAAATGTGTGTGCGTCTTATGGAGCGAATGCAGGCTGCGCAGCTATCACAGAAGCCAGAACAGCAAGGGGGATCGCTGCTTTCACTGCACAGCGATCCCTCTTGCTGTTCTGGCTCCTGAGATTCAGAATATTTTTTTTCTTGTTTTCCTCCTCCAAAAACTAGGTGTGTCTTGTGGTCTGGTGCGTCTTATAAAGCAAAAAATACAGTAACTAGGTCTACTCATTTCAGTGGGTATACTCTGGAGCAAGAAGCAGTTGGATATAGGCCCCTCCCCACACTCACACATGCAAGTTCTGCAACCAAACATTGCAGAACAGAATACTCCTGTTCAGGATTCCAGACATCCCTTTCTTCCACCCACCTAGTTTTGCGATTCTCCTCTGCAGCCATCAGTTCTCCTTCTGTGACCAGGCAGCAGGATCAATGCTTGTTGTACTGGGGTACTTTGCTTTTAGTGGGGCTTCCCCCGCTCTCCTTAAGAGTTGCGTTCCTAAAGATTGATGTGCTTCTGTAATTCTTGGTGGAGCCCCCCCTCCTTCGCAGCCCATCCTTACAGCCATCCTAACAGATCTTCCAGTTCATCTCACCTGGTTATTATCAGTGGCATGTGCTGTGATCCACTATGACAAATTCGACCCTCCCCTCCTTCAAAATATACACACACAAAAGAAGCAGATACTCACTCTTTCACGAAATTGTGCAACTGTTGCCGGACAGACCTCTGAGCCTGGTCGAAAAGGATCTAAGGCAGAGGAAAGAGGAAGCAGGGAAGAGAAAGCAAGTAAGAATATGTGAAGAAAACTCACTTAATCGAAGATCTTAAATGTCACCAGACAGCACGGGAGCAGAGGTGCTGCTGAAAGTTGTGTTCTTCTAGGGATTGCCCCAGAAACGCTTCCCAATAGGATAAAACTGTTGAATGGTCACTGTAAAATGTGAAGGTTCATTATTGTTTCACAAGTTATGTATGTCTTTAAGGGCCAGGGCAAATAACGAGACCCAGTCTTGCAGCTGTGAAACATAGCAGGTGCTGCTAGGTTGTGTTAATTAAGCCGTGTCAGCATTGGGCATAGTACCGTATTTTTTTGCTCTATAAGACGCACCAGACCACAAGACGCACCTAGTTTTTGGAAGAGGAAAACAAGAAAAAAAAATTTCTGAATCTCAGAAGCCAGAACAGCAAGAGGGATCGCTGCGCAGTGAAAGCAGCAATCCCTCTTGCTGTTCTGGCTTCTGTGATAGCTGCGCAGCCTGCATTCGCTCCATAAGACGCACACACATTTCCCCTTACTTTTTAGGAGGGAAAAAGTGAGTCTTATAGAGCAAAAAATACGGTATATAAGGAGCAGCACCTAGCTCTCCCATTACCCTGGGGGATGGGTTGGTGGTTGGGTCATGTTTGTTGTTGTTATCTTTAGTGTAAAAGGAGTTTTTGTTTTGTTATTAAAACCTTGTTAAAGTTATTTTTGAGTTCCTTGTTATTTATGGTCTCCCCAGCAAGTTCTCTGCAGCGCTGCTAAACTGCAAATAATCAACAAAAACCACCTCTAAGAACATAAAACAAGCTCTGCTGAATCAGGCCAAAGTCCTGCATCCCAGTCTCAGAGAGAGTAGAACTTGAGCACGACAGCACCGCTTCTCCTGGCTGCTGGATCAGGCCAAAGGCCCACCTAGCCCAGAATCCTGGTCTCACAGATGCCAACCAGATGCCTCCGAAAAGACTGTCAACAGTACCTGTGAGTCCAAAATCACTCTACCTCCTTGTGACCCCCAGAAACTGGTGTTCAGAAGCAGGCTGCCAGCTAGTGCGGTTTATTTTATTATTTTTTTAAAAGGAGGTGCTCGCATCTTGATAGAAGTGCCAGGGGTGCCGGCACAAAATGGCGACCAAGGACAGCCAAAGAAAAGAGGCAATGGTACTTCATGAGTGCCATCACACACAAAACTGCGAATTCAATTGAATTTCTCTCCCATTGCAAAGCAAAGCTTCATTTTAAGTGTGTGTGTTTTTAAGGCAATAAAACTGGTTCTCAAAGGGTGTGGTGTGTCACACTGGCATGGCAGGATGATTCAAAGACCATCAAAGAAACATTTAAACATTTCAGTATAGTGCAGTATAGTATCAATGTTGTTGTTTTTTAAAAATTTGCAATACCGAGGACAATTCTAGTTGTAGTTTGTCATTATATTTTGGGCCTGATTCATGTTCTTATGTAGATGCATTGTTTTATACTTTTTGGATGCCCCATGATCATATTCTACTGTAGTTTTGTTCTATGCTATAAATCAAGCACTGCTAGGAGTTGCTTCATTTTGTTTTCCAATGTATTTCTTATCAATTAAAAATTCGGTGTGGCACGAGCAAATTTTCCCCCCGAAAGTGCAGCCCGGAGAAAAAAGTTTGAGAACCACTGCAATAAATAACACTTTTTAAACCATTGGTTTTTTTTAAAAAAAGAAACACCCCAAAACCTGTTGTGTTCTGCTCAGGAAAAGCAGCAAGGCTATAGGGCTGGACCACGGACAGCTCCCAGCGATCCACTTGCTCTGAAAGAGATTGGGAGCGGACAGAGGCCTTTTATACCTCCTCCAAGCTCCACCCCCTTGAGAGAATTTAAAGGGTCTTAAAGGGCCAGTCCTCTGGTCTGAAGATGGACACACAAACTCGCACTTGGTGCTCTCCTTGAGCCTCTGGACTAGTGATGTGTGATGGGAGGCCAAGATGCCCCCTCATCCAATGAACGTCTGTGTCCCCAATTCCTCCCTCCCATTCGGGTCTTCTTGAGAGGCACTTCAGCTGCCAAATGTTCTGCACAGAACCCCTTCCCAAATATTTTGAACAAGGTCTGTCTATATTTGAATTCCTCGTTTCTACCAGTAGAGGGCACCATCTTCTCATGCTCCAACTTCTACTGGCACCATATAAAGAAGGCTGCCCCCTTTTGTCAGGCAAAATTGACAAAGCCATTTGCATAGAAACATCGAACCAATAAGCATTTAGCTAGAACTATATAATAAAACAGCCAAGACCAGTATCAAGGAGTTGGGGATGGGAACATATGAAGAGCCCGGTGGCTGGATCAGGCTGATGGCCTATCTAGTCCAGCATCCTGTTCTCCCATTGTTGAACCTGACGCCTGTGGGAATCTTGGAAGCAGGACCTGAGTGCAACAGCAAATGGCATACAGAGGACTGGATGGGATAGAGGGAAGGAGTATTTCAGCTGAATGAAACTCTAAGGGTGGTACTTAACTAAGTTTTTATTCAGAGTAGACTACTGAAATCGATGACCATGGGGCTGTTTAGAGCCATTGATTTCAATAGGTCTACACTGAGTAAAACCAAGTTAAACACACCCCTTGGACACAATGCTTTAAGAAAATCAGCTCTTTTCCCATAAGCTGCAATACTGAATTGACTACTGGCCAATATCTTGTGGAGAGGATTTGCAGAGGGCTCCTCCATTTATTTATTTAAAAAATCAAATTAAATTGATTGGATTTTTTTAAAAAGAGCTCAGCTTACTATTTTTTATTTTTTTAAAAAGTTTGATTTCTAACTACACAGTCGTTTTTTGGGCTTCTGATCCATGCTTGGAAGGGTTCGTATGAAATAAAAAGTTTCCAGAAAGTCTGTCTCGCCTTCCCACCCATCTCTCAGCCCCAGAGAAGTCATCAAGATTCCAGGATGTGACTCACTCAAATGCTGGTCACTTTGGATGGAGATTTTCCTCCGGGATCAGGGGCTAATCCTTAAAGCTTCCTGGTTGCAAAGCTAGCCCAGCCACAGAGGTGAGCTAAGCAAGAGTCTGGGGTGCCAAAATTCCGGGGGTCATCTCTCAACGAAATGTGGGAAGGCAAAGAGATCCCCTCTCATCGTTTCCTTTCCTTTCCTGAATTCCATGGAGATTTCTGTGCATGCACCATTCGCCGCATCTTTTCATATACCTCCCCCCCCAATCTTAATACGCTTGTCATATCAGCAGTCCTCCTCTTGTTGTTCAACCAACATGAAGGAGAGCAGAATGCATCTCAGTGGCAGAACATCTGCTTTGCATGCAGAAGGTCTCAGGGTCAATCCCTGGCTTCTCCAGGTAGGGTTGGAAATGTCCCCTGCCTGAAACCCTAGTGAACCGCTGCCAGTCAGAGTAGACAATACTGATCTAGATGAACTTTATAACACAGCTTTCTGTGTTCTTAAACAATGCACAGGAAGAACATTCGTGCCAACTCTGAAATACAGCCACATCAAGATCTGCCCACCCAGCGTTCCATCCATAAGCAGCTGTGCACTGGTGATTTGCTCTAAAATACAGGTGGATTTTCAATAATAATAATAATAATAACAATAATAATAATAATAAATGTGTTACTTATACCCCGCCCATCTGGCCAGGCCTCCCCAGCCACTCTGGGCAGCTCCCAACTGAATATTAAAAACACGATAAAACATCAAACATAAGAAACTTCCCTAAACAGGGCTGCCTTCAGATATCTTCTGAAAAGTCAGATAGTTGTTTATTTCCTTGACATCTGATGGGAGGGCGTTCCACAGGGCGGGTGCCACTACTGAGAAGGCCCTCTGCCTGGTTCCCTGTAACCTCACTTCTCACAATGAGGGAACTGCCAGAAGGCCCTCGGCATGTACTAATGTGGAAACGAACTTTTGATTGGAAACATGAGAAATTCCCAGGTTCACCCATCACTTCCTACCAGGATCTCTGCCTTGCCGTTGGGAAAATCACGGACATTTTGCAGCAGGGCTTGCAAGGAAGGGAGTTGGCCAGCCAGGGAGGAGATAGCAGTTCCACTTTGCCGTTTAATGGCCCAGAGGAAAGATCCATGAGCTACTGCACTGATGCGATCCCTAATGCCATTGCATTGCTGCATTACCCTAAGCGCAGCAGCCTGAAACAGGAAAGGGTATCGATCCGTAACTGGCAGAGACTTTAATAGCTAGGAGCAAGACCACTGACTGCTCTGGCTTTTTGCAGGGATGCTTCCCAAAGCCTCAGCACCTGTATTTCTCTCCTGGGTTTTGGACTTCCAAAAGGCCCAGTCTCATTTCTGAAGCAGGAGCAAGGTATGTATGTTTGGTGCCTTCCTGATGTTTTGGACCACAACTCCCATCAGCCCCAGGGAGCTGTAGTCTGAAACAGCTGGAGGGCAGTGAAGGCTTTTTCTTGGAGATGCTAGAGGAATTCATTCTTAGGAAGGAGCATGTAGAAGACCTCCTTACACTGAGTCTATCTCTGAGGTACGACATTTCCTGCAAAGATAAAAGTAAGGCGCGAGTCCTCATGGTTTGAAGTAAAGGGCTGGTTTCAATAAACAGATAGGAAACTTTGACTGGATAGCTCAGTTGGTGAGAGTGTGGTGCTGATAATGCCAAGGTTGCAGGTTCGATCCCCATATGGGACAGCTGCATATTCCTGCATTGCAGAGGGTTGGACTAGATAATCCTATGGGTCCCTTCCAACTCTACGATTCTATGAAACTGCCTTAAACCAACTCAGATTACTGGTCTGTCTAGCTCAGTGTTGCCTACTGGGCGCTCCAGAGTCTCAGGGAGGAATATCTCCCACCACTAACTGGTGATGCTGAGGATTGACCCTGGAACCTTCTGCATGCAAAGCAAGTGCACTATGGCACCTCTTCACAAATCCCTACACGAAATGACTTCTGGGACTAAATGTGTGGCTCGGAAAGTAAAGGTCCAGTTGTGACCGACTCTGGGGTTGCGGCGCTCATCTCGCTTTATTGGCTGAGGGAGCTGGTGTTTATCCGCAGACAGCTTCTGGGTCATGTGGCCAGCATGACTAAGCTGCTTCTGGCGAACCAGAGCATCACACGGAAACGACATTTACCTTCCCACCGGAGCGGTACCTATTTATCTACTTGCACTTTGACGTGCTTTCGAACTGCTAGGTTGGCAGGAGCAGGGACCAAGGAACGGGAGCTCACCCCGTTGCGGGGATTCGAACCTCCGAGCTTCTGATTGGCAAGTCCTAGGCTCTGTGGTTTAACCCACAGCGCCACCCGCGTCCCGTGGCTCGGAAATTAGCCCATAAATCCTAAGGATTTGAAGCTGGGAAAATGTACTCCCAGCAGAAGGAAAACAAGCCTTTGAAATAGAGTGTGACTTATGCCACCCCCTTTTTGCCAGGGTAAGCTGCCGGGTCACAAGACCGAACTGAACAGATTTGGGATCCAGCAGAAGTCACCCCACCTTGCCCGGTTTCTGTCCCCGCCACTTCTACATAACGCCCATTTGGGGGGTACTTAGGCTGCCACAGAAGACGGTGCTTCTCTGCGATTATGCTGAAAGGCCAAACCCTCGTGCGCCGCACACCCAGAGTGAGCGCTGCTTGCAGCCTCACGACTCCCTCTGCCTTTACACAGGGAGCAGGGGATGAGCCAACGTGCTAAATCCTGCCCCCATGCGCACACAAGAGGGGGGGGACAGACACGAAGCACAGAAACAGAAAAACCACTAAAAATAACTTTCCTCCCCCTCCAGATTGCTCCAGGCTTCGCCGCCCAGCAGAAAAATGTTTGAGTCAATCTACAGACATTCCCCGGAGAAAGATCTCCGCGCATGAGAGCGCAGGACCCTGTGTGGAGCAGCATGCCCTTGGGAAAGGAGAGTTGCAAGCGGCGGCAGTTTTGTGGATTTCTCATTTGGTGTGGAAGGCAGAAGCAGGTGCTTTTGTGAAAAAGAGCTGCAGTTCCCAAAGTGAGCAGTACTCCCCACCGCCACAGGGGGCAGTAGAATTACCTTTGGGGGGGAAGCTGCTAAGAGGCAAGGGGGTGGCAGGGGGTACCCTAAGAGGCTTCAAAAAGCTGGTATCGCCGGACCAAGTTCATCAGCTTTGTCAAAATAATTATACTAAATCGTTTCACTTGGATTCTGAACAAATGTGCAATGAATTGTTACAGTTTTGAATGTTATTGCCTTGTTATCTTCCTCAGTGGGTTGTGGAAAACCGCTCTTCTGAATAATGCTTTTTAAACCAGTGGTTCTCAAAGGGTGTGGCACGCCGCATTGATGTGGCAGGAGAGGATGGCAAGTGCGGCAGGAAGATTCAAGGGCAATCAAAGAAGCATTTAAACATTTCAGTATAGTATAAAGGTAAAGGGACCCCTGACCATTAGGTCCAGTCGTGGCCGACTCTGGGGTTGCAACGCTCATCTCGCTTTATTGGCTGAGGGAGCCGGTGTACAGCTTCCAGGTCATGTGGCCAGGCGAATCAGAGCAGCGCACAGAAACACCGTTTACCTTCCTGCCAGAGTGGTACTTATTTATGTACTTGCACTTTGACGTGCTTTCGAACAGCTAGGTGTGCAGGAGCAGGGACCGAGTAACAGAAGCTCACCCCGTTGCGAGGATTCGAACCGCCGACCTTCTGATTGGCAAGCCCTAGGCTCTGTGGTTTATACCACAGCGCCACCCGCGTCCCTTATAGTATAGTACAGTATAAAAAAAAGTTTTCATTTGCAGAATATGCAAGAGGTTTATTTATAACTATCTTTTGGTTCATGTTCTTATGTAGCTGTATTACATTATAAAGTAGTTGTGCTCTAATATAACATAGAGCATATATATATCAAGCACTGGTAGTTGTTTCTTTTTGCTTTCCAATGTATTCCTTAGCAATAAAGAATTTGGTTTGGTGTGCACAAATTTCTATACTGAAGGTGTGGCCCAGAGAAAAATGTTTGAGAACGTTCAGCAAAGGCTGAAACCTGCGTTGCAGGTTTGGGAGCACCCCGGGATAGGGTACATAAAATGTTGCACACTGGTCCATCTAACCTTTTTCAAGAGAGCCTCTGGAGAGCCTAGGAGAGGCTCGCCCGGCACCCAACCTGCCAGCCTTGCAGCAAAAAGCTTTTCAGGCTCCAGCAACAGGGAGCCTTCAGCCTGGTGACCAGAGGCAGAGATGGGTGCGGCCACAGATGCAGATCTCACCTTTGTCCAGCAGGCTAATTTCTAAACACAGCCCTCTCTGTCCTCCCATCCAGGCAAGCAGGAAGAGGCACAATCAGAACTAAAGGATGCTTTCCAGCTAACCACAAAAACCCCCAAAGGAGAGTTCAGAGCAGGGCTGGGGAGGGGTGTGGCCTGAGGAGAGGGGGCGTGGCCTGGGAAGTGTCCTTAGGCTCAGGCAGAGACATCCAGAATGCCTCATTTGATTCCCCCAGGCCTGCTGTTGTTCCCCATCCCTGTCATACGCTAACAACTGGTGCCGAACTGAAAAATACACACACACCCCACCGTGTTTCCCTCCCAACCATCAGTAATGGGAAAATAAATTGCATTTGGAAATTATCTGCTGAAAATCTGGGGGAGGACAGATTTTGGCACAGTGCTACCAACAACTTTTCAAAAAATAATAGAAATTATCCCCCGCAAATGCCAATCCAACGCCCTGCAAGTATTTTAAGCTTGCTGCTCAGCAGGAGATGCACAAACTTGAAAGCTGAACGAACTGAAGGGTGTTTGGGCTGTGTGTGTGTGTGCGTGTGTATGACCTAGATTTTTTCCCTACACCGTCTCTTGTCTCTCTCCATTAAGGGAGGGCATCTAGTTTTAGAATCACAGCTAACTGCGCCCAGATGTGGTGCATTTGAAAGGATACAGAGGCTGCTGAGAAGATCTACAACAGGGGTGGGAAACCTTTTCCAGCCCAGGGGCCGCACTCCCTCCTGGGCAGCCTTCCAAGGGCCGCATGCCAGTGGTGGGCGGGGCCGGGGGCTAAAGTGGGTGGAGTAACCAATGTACATCTCACCACCACCCTCCTAGTCAGGCTAGAGGCATAAGACACATTCCAACCATGCAAGAAATATTGTGGTCTAAAACAGGACAGGTGAGGGGTGTGGCCTGAGGAGAGGGTGTGTGGCCTGGGGATAATTGGGAGGGCCAGGTAGAGACACATGGAGGGCCACATTAGGCCCCCAGGCCTGAGGTTCTCCCTGCCCCCAACCTATAAGGACCTTTCCTTAGATATGTTTTTAACAATGGATGGACCCCTTCTCAATGCCTGGCTTTACTCGGTGCCATCTCTGCACCTAATGGTCAGTGTGGTAAAGTGG